ATCCTTGAAGTACGGAGAAAGCATCCCATGAACAAAGCATCTGCTGTTTAGTTCCAACCTCAGGACTCCAGAGAAGACAGTGAACAGGACAGGATAATAGTGGATTCTGTGAAATTGCATTAAAATATTTCCTGACCATAGGGTGATGATTTTAAACTGGTGGGTTTTTTCCCCCTTTCCTTCTACCTCGACTCTTTCCCCCACCAGTCCTAACAGCAGTAACCCTCCATCTCTCTGACCCTAGCGAAACAATAGAGACCAAAGGAAGAAATCTTCGTTCCACTTTGACTTTCAAAATTGACTTTTGTCAGGCTCACAGTAGCAAAAATTGTCATGTCATTGCAAGAGCCACAGAGTGGAAAGAGAAAGTGTTTTCAAGGATATTGAAAGCTGACCTTTGACTATCAATGAGCCAAGCTTGATAAGAAACCAGAGTGGATTGCGTATAGAAGGTGGTGAAAGAGTACCTTCCTGCTATGCAGGACAGAGAGAACTACCCTCCTGTGCTGAGAGGAGAAATTCAGGGAGAATCAGAGAAGAAACAAGAGAGTAAGACATATGTATTTTTGAGAGAGCCCTGGCCCTGATCATCACCACAGAGTGGGCTCGGATGGATGGAGAAGGAGAGGAGGAGGACACTAGAACCCCCCAGATAGATTGGAGGACCTGAGGGCAGAATGGACTTCTGCTCAGCTTCCTAACTAGGACTCTGGGAGGGAAATTCCTGATGAATGTTCCACGCCAACATATGGCAGGTACAGCAGCATGGAAATGGTAACGAGACAGATCTCCACAGGGCAAGCCCTTCCCTGAGCTTGACCGCCAGGCTCCCAGCCCCTAAGAGATACTCAGGTGACAATGAGTGACCTGGCTAGGAATCTGACGGATATCTCTGAAGACTGGGAATCTCAGGGCTCAAAGCCATAAAGGACCACCATTACAGAGAAAGGAAGACAAGTGATATCTGCGTATCTGTGTTACGGCCGTAAATTCTATGGCTGGTGCACCCATATCTGAGACCTAACGTCTTTCAAGAGCGGTTCCAAGCTTTTCAGTCCTAGTACCTCTTCACACTCTTAAAAACTACTGAGGACCCCAAAGAGCTTTTGCTTGGGTAGAACATCTGTATACATTTACTATACTATAAATAAAAACGGAGACCATTAATAATTTATGTACCAAACCATTTTAAAATAAAAAACAATAAGCCCATGATGTGTCAACACGAAGAACATATTTTTATGAGAAATAAGACTTCTTTCCCAAAAATATTGTAAGAGTGGAGTTATTTCACTCTTGTGCAAATTTCTTTCATGTCTGGCTAATTGGAAGATGACTAGACTTTGATATGTGCTTCTGCAGTTAGTCTGTTGCAGTGTCACACTTTGTCCACCTCCCCGTCACAGTGGGGAGAGGAGGAGCAGCTACAGAGGAATCAGGGAAAAGCCCCCCCTTTCCATCTCTGCTAGTCAGCCTTCCCTTATCACAGGGACACTGAAAAATCCCAGAAAACCTGAGCTTAGGCCAGGAAGAAGCTTTAGTTTCACAGCAATTTGGAATTGTTAATATTATAACGAACTGGGCATGTCAATTATTAAGCTGAGATATTACCAAATGACTTTCTTATTTTCTAAGAATAACCTGGAAAGCAGGGGATGGGAGGAAGGGATAAAGTTGTTTACTGAAGACACGGTAGGACTTACCTGCTTAACGTTATATAGATTATAGAGTGATTATATAGATAAGCACATCTTGCGTGGGACCTTTGCACAATGCCAAGATTAATGAAAAGGAAACATTCCTGCTAAAGATTCAAAAGAGAATCACAAAATCGTAGTAATGAGAAACTGGATGACATCCTTCATAGGTGACAAGAAGACAAAGCTTTAATATATCAGAAGCAGAAAATCCTCAGGAGAGAGAGGATGGAAAGGGAGAAAGCTGATGATGCTTGGACATCTGACTCTTTGTCCTACATCATCCTGGCCACCATGCCAACACCCCAAGCACCTCTGGGTAACAGACTCCACCCTGCACCAGCCACCATGTAGGCACATGACACAGGCCAGACCAATGAAAGTCTGTTTCTTGAATTTCTAAACTGAGACCTAAAGAGAGGAAATTCTCTCTTTCTCAAGGGATGGACCTTAATGATATGAATCTGGGGCTTGTCCCAGTAGCCTTGACCCCACACAATCTGGGGAAGGAAGGCAGGCAGTAGAAAAGAATAAAACTGACAGCTGCCATTAACTCAAGGCTTACGGTGCACCAGGCACTGTTCTAAAGCACTTTGCAGGCATTAACTCACTGGAGTCTCACATTCTCTCTCCCGGAGCAGGGACTACTGAGCCCCATTGTTAAGAAGTTTGGCCTTATCCCAATAAAGAGAAGGCAGTGAGGGCCCTTAAGAAGCCCAGCGGCAAGATCAAGGTTAAACTTCCCTAGAACTCTACTGTGTGGAATGGGTTGGTGAAATTCATGTTGAAAGTGGGCAGACCATGAGAAGCAGGGTGATACTGGGCCCGAAGATCTACCAAATCAGAACTTCTGCCCCATCCTTAAAATTCCAATTGCATAGAGCAACACAGCAGTCACCTGAGGGTTCTGAGTTGTTTTATGGTTATTAAAAAACCATATTGAATAATCCACATTATTAATGTTTTTTAAAAAGTATGCAGACTAATAAACAACTTGGCAGTAGACAGTATTTGTCACAAGTCCCCCTTTCTCTTTCTCTTACACCTAGCACTGGGATAATTCTGCTTACTCTATGCTTTAAAAAATCTGAATCATGTGTATAAAGTGTGTAGACAAAATAGTAAGCAAACGATAGCAACAAATCAATTACGTTATCGTTAAGTGGTGGGACTCTATTTGATTTATGGTTGTTTCTTTACATTTCTTTAAATTTTTGATAATTTCTAATTTTCTATAAAGAGCATATATTACTTTTATATTCAGAACATAATCAGCATAGGCAATGTTATAAATATCATAAGATCACTTTATATATAAATATATACGTTGTGTGTTTAGTGAGTGTGTATGTGACAAAACGACTGGAAGAACGTTACCCCAAATTATTAACAGTGGTAGTGAATCTAGGTACCCTTTAAATTTCTTTTTACTTCTATGCATTTTCCCAATTTTCTAGAACAAGCATGCATTCCTTTTTTAATGGAAAAAATAAAATTTATTCCTTTAATTTTTAAAAGAAGTGGGGCTGGAGGACTCTGTTCCAACAAGGATGCCACACATTCCTGAAAACAAAGCAGCAGATGCAACCATCCTCCAGCAGAACCCCCTCCATAAAGGAGCCTCATTATTCATTCAGAGGTTGACTTAACTGTAGTGGATTCCAGTATAAATGGAAGGATTTCTAATCATCACCTGCTCTGACCTTTACCCTCTTTTTCCTTCTCTTCCTGGACAGTGCTTTAATGGCTCTCTAATAGGCAAAGAGGGCATTAGTCCCACTGGTAATAGGGGAATTGGTAAATTGGGGGTTGCATTGGGAGCTGGGGGGATGAAGTGAGTAGCATCGGTCCTCCTTGGAAAGGGCACACTCTCTCGGGTCTTCCCAGTCCCGTTCACCCCCTGTTATATCCCTTACAAGACAATTAACACTGCCTTTGAGGAGACACAATCTCTAGGCTGTCTTCAATGGTGCCTAGTATAGATGCGTTTGTTCCATGAGGAGGCAGTGAGGGGTATCAAACTGGAGAGCATAAGCCCCATTGAAAGGGGACTATACCTCTCGCCTCCAGCCGGCCATTGCCATATGGAAATGCCAGCCCAGAATGGCCCAGTTTAACATGTGAAAGGATGAAACTACACTGACTTCTAAGTATGGCAATTCATTTAACATGAAAACACTCTCTGGGCCAATGAGTTCTGGCTAAACACAATACGTCTGTGAGCCATGGTTTGGTCGGTCAACTGCAAATACATAAACTCCAGGTCAAATAGTCAGAGCTGCGATTCCTTACTCTCCTCCAACCACAGCAGCTCTTAACCACTGATACTGAGTATTAAGGACGGAACCTGAATTCTGAAAGATTGTCTTGGCACCAGTAAACAAGCAATGCCTTGGACCAGGGCATTTCAAGAACCCACGGGATCATGGACAGGAACTCCTGGATATAAACATCTCCCGTGGAAATTGAAAACTGGGGATGAAATCTCTCTTCCTGGTAGGTCATGGGATGTAGGTTTTTATAGTAAGAGGTGTTGGCTACATAAGGGCTTACTGAACAATATGAACAATTTATATAAACGTCTGATAAAGCTGACTTCCCAGAGCTGGCCTTGAAACATCATTTTGCTTATTTCCATAATGCTATTCTCAGATGCCAGTAAAGCTTCCACAGATTCTAAGCTAGACTTGGTCTTTGTTCTCACAGTGTAGCTCTGAGCCCCCTGGGAACCCATATCACCAAGAGAAAGTCAGTGTAGCAGTAAATTGAAATCATGTCAAAATTCAGCAGAAAGAGAAAGACCAAATACCAAATCCCAAGCATCTAAATTTCTCCCTCAAACTGTCACTTCTCACTACAAAACCTTAGAAATATTTGCAACAAGAAGAGAGCAAAGAAGCATTTATGCTTGTCCAGGGCCATGCAGAATCTTAGCGGACTCAGCTGGAACTGATGGAAGACTCTCTTATCTCTAGTTAAGAGTTGCAGGAAGAATAAGAGAGGGAGAGAGTCCCTGGGGTTCACTCTGGACTCGGACCAGATGGGAATCTGGTCAGTCCAGACCAGAAGCCCTCCTCTTTGGACATGGGGTGGGCATGGAGGAAGAGAGGTAGTCTAGAGGGTTGCTGTGAGTGTCGGCTCCCCTGGAGACCATTCTCCTGCCTTCCTGTTAACTTCAGGGCTCAGCTCAAGCCTTTGGTCTTGATGTGGGCACTGCTGCCTTTCCTTGGGAGGAGAGAAATCAGGTCTGTCTACACCTTCATGGGCTGCCTTGCCAGGCCTATCAGATGGCTTCTGACCCCCATGAGGACCAATGAGGTGAGCAGTTCACCCCTGACAACCATTTGTGATTGTCTTTGATTTTTCTTTTAGAATCTGATTAAAAGAGGTCAAGCCCACAGAGTGAAAATTAGGTTTCCCTACCACACCAGGCATCCACACCACACATCATTCTCTCTTCTGCTTCTCCACAGACAGTAAGCTGAGCTCTAACTCTCAATAAGCATCTCAGACAGGGCTGCACCATATGCACCAGAAAACAATCTAGCCCAAATAAAGAAGCACCTGCGATTCAAAATCCTCAAATGTGTTGCCGCCCCATGAGGTTTCACATGATGAACTTTGCTCCCACTGAAAAAGACAAAATCTTCCTGTTTTCATATTTGCCAGGGTACCAGTCAACACACACAGGTTATCAATGTTATCTATCCTTGTGAACACAGAACTCACTGGGGAGACATGTCCCCACGAAGGACAAGAGGCAGCACAGGAGGGTGATAAGGACTTTGGCTCTGGAGCCATCACTACCATCTAGACACCTTAGCACTTCAGACATTCCCAGATACTGCTTCCCCACATACTACCCTGGGGTGGATGTTGGTAGTTTTAAATATCCCAGTGACTATAATGTAACCACTGGCATAGCGAGCACCACAGATACACTCATCTCTGACCTCTTAGAAAAGTCCTCTTGGTGGACTCTGTCCATTAGGTCCTAGAAGTGATTTAGTCTTTCTTGTTCTGGGTCTCCTGTTAGGAAGGGGTTGTTATTTAGAGAAGAGTAAGAGAATGAAAAGGAACTGAGATCTTCCTTTTTCCTGGAGGCAAACAAGATAAACCAGGAAAGTTATCTTTGAATATGAGAGAAACATAACAATTAGAGAATCATGGATCTTTTCTCCTCAATTCCAGGTACTGTGAAGAACAGTGTTCATTTTTTTAATCACAACTCTTTCCCAGCCTCTTCCTTGTCCTACACGCACCCACATGACCAGCTCAGCGGTGAACACCATTTTTCAGATGTTTGATAATACATGTACTGCTTCATTCAATCATGCAGTCACGACTGAATCTCTGTTTGGAAATTTTGTAGCCCAGCCCCACGAGAAGGGTCAGCACCCTAGATGTGCGATTTTCCTCCAAAATCAAGAGGACCATATCTGAGGATTAAAGTGAATGCCAAGCACCAAGAATTCCCAAATCACCAAAAGAAAGCTGAGAAGGTGTGTTTTCTGCAGCTTTCCTTGTTCTGCCCACCCATATCCTGGGGTGGAAAATGTACAGTTACGGTCCATAGATTATTATAATTAAGTGGTGTGTGGAATTCATTTTTTCAAAAATAGCTTCATCAGCTCTTCACAGCATGTGCTGTAAGACAAGTATATGTGAAAAGCAAGTGAGGATGGCGATTGTTTAGCACGTTTAATTAAGCAAGTATTTCTTTCACCCTTCCGGGAATTAAACATCGAACGGTGAGTAAACACAGGGAAGTGTGCCCATGTAACTTCCAGTCCGCTGCCTTAATTCAAATGCAGGGTGAGAATCAAGGGCTAAGTCTGTGATCTGGAGTAGTTCTGCGACAAATGAAGCAACTGAAGGTTCACCCTTCACATGTCCTACAGACATTGTTGAAGGAAGTATCCCTGTTGTGTTTTCTCTCCTGGAGTGTCTCCTTGATGGATTTCTTCTCCCTCACCAACATACATCTCCATCTTGCCTCTTTCTTGAAGAAACGTTTCCTTCCCTGCCAGTTGCATCCGTTGTGACTCATATTTAAGAGGGACGGAAAACACAACTCAAACTGGCTTCCTGGGAGGGGAAGCCTTTGCTCACATCAATGAAGAGCCCAGTGTGTCATCAGGAACTGCGTTTTCTTCTCCATTTCTAGCTCTATTTCCGTCATTTTGGCTTCATTTTCAGATGACCCTTCCCCTCATAGTGCCATGGTGGCCCCATTAGTCCTGCCCTACATCCTCCTAGGTTCAAGCCACGAGAAAATAGGAAGTCCTTATTTACCCCAATAGTCTAACCAAAACCTTGGGTCTGACTCTACTGTTCTGATGGAATCGCATGCCCATTGCCACACTGATGACTGCAGATGGGACGTGGAATCATCCGTTTAGCTTAGGCTACGTGGCACACTTCAGTCCTAGAGCCGAGAACTGAGCCCTACCAGAGGTACCTGGACTGAGGGTAGCAGGGTAGAAGGTGGCTCAGGGCGTGGGAGGGGTTCCCTGAAGGAAAAGGACTGACCGATTCCTAGAAGGGTGAATGGAAACCGGGGTAAAAACACAAACAAATAAACAAACAAAACCAATGTCCATTAAACAACCTTTCTGCTGCAGGAGGTGCTGTAATTGTTTTTTAAAATCTAAGTTAAAATTGCCTCAAGATGTCTTACTCCGAATCATCTGTTACCAATGTGGCACCACTGCCCTCCTTTACAAGGCAGGAAACTGCATTTGTCAGAATCTGCTTTACTATCCACGTTTCTTTGTTCGAGCTTGCTTTGGAATGGAATTCACATGAGATTTGAAAGGAGGAGATGAAAGGGATGCTGCTGTGCGTGGGTAGAGTTGCCGGATTTCACAAATAAAAACACGAGACACCCAGTTAAATTTGAATTTCAGATAAATAATTTCTTGGTATAAGTACGTCCCATTTCCCCATGCAGTCTTATATGTGGTCTTTGGGTACTTACACTAAAAGCTTATTCATTATCTATCTGAAGTTCACATTTAACCGGCATCCTGTATTTTGTCTAGCAATCTCATTTATCCTGGAGGACATGGTGGTCAGGCTTGATGCTTCAGCAGACCCTCTAAGAACTTCCCTTTCGTGGTTCTGCAGACAGATACCTTTGAAGATCTCTCCACTGTCCCCTGCTTTGCAGTTCTGACACCTGGATGCTACAGCTTCGCACACTTCCGTGAACTCAGGCTACTCCACTCACTCCAGTGCTGCACGCTGCTGACAGTTTCTCTGACCCTCCAGCTACAGCCTTCTGCACAGCTCTTCCCCCAGTCACGGAAGCTCTAATTTCTACATTCAACCCCTTATTTCCACAATAGTTGAGTGGCTCTGACCAAGTCCAGATTGATCCACCCCTATATTCAGTCAGCAAAAGAAAACATGTCTTGCCATTTCAAGGCAATCACTTCTGACGTCTGTGTTTAGGTTTCAGGTTTCTTTCCTTTCACTGGTCTCTGGAGGGTTGTACGTTCCTGGGGGTCTATGTATCTTACAGCCATCAGGAGAGGGTCTACATCTGTCCTTTGTCCTCACTGAGATAGAAACCATCTTGTATAGTCCCTGTAACCACACACAGTCATCCACCAAGGCCTCTACAGGATACAGGACACTATTTTGTTTTCTTCCTCCATCTGACCCCACGCTGGTCCTCTAAGCACTTCTGTTCTCCTCCTTCCAACCTTTCTACAAAGATCTTGGAAACTGTCAGTCCTTATCACTGAACAATGTTGGGTCAAGGCATTGAAAGGCTGCCTCCTGGTTCCTCTCCTGAAATCTTGCCCTTTCCCACTGCTGCTCCAACTCTGGGCAGCAGATAAAATAAGGGCTTCTCCAGATGTCTGCAGTCTCCCGTGTGTCTCAAGTGTCCTCTTCTCCTGGACGCCCCAGAATGTCACGTCTGTAGTAGCTGTCATGTCATCCTCTTCCCTGAACTCTCCTCAAAGGGTCAAGAATTCTACAATCATATCTAAGTTGTCCTCTGCTTTGCCTCCCCAGCCTCTTCTTCCCCATCCTAGGAAGACTTCTTGTCCATCCTTTTAAGGAAATCTGCTTGTCAAACTGCCATGCGTTCTGATCCGTCTACAGCTCAGCATTTACATGCTAACCTCTCAGTCTTTCAGGCTGTGCTCTGTATATTTAAAGCCAAGCTGCTGGAATTAAATCAAACAAGGAACACAGCACAAACCTTTTTTTCCCTCCAAACTGCTTGGCTTTCACAGGAAAAGAAAAGAACTAGCATGGATTTCACAGCTATTGTCTCTGCTATGTGTTTAAAAACTATTGAGAAATTCAATCAACTGTTTTAGGCAATATCTGCGATCTCTGAGGCATTAAATGCCACTGACCCACTGAGTAAAGAGCCACAGGACAACATCCAAACATAAAGGAATAGAAAACTTCAATTAGTATTTCAAAATGCATCCCCTGCTTGTAACTGTCAGCGCGCTCTATCCATTTACATTACCAGAAAACCAGACTGGAGAGCGCAAATGGAAAATAAATAACAGTCAAAGATTCCAGAGAACAATCTGTCCCACTGTGAAGAAATACATCATTATGAGAACCAAATGGGCCCTCGTAATTTCAGGCAAAAATCAATTCAATGGGATGTTACCTATATCCCAAAACATTTTTTTTTAATCACGAAAATACAAAGGGAGTGAAAAATTCCGTAAACAATCATGTAGTTTCAAAGTGTTACCTACATAGGAACAAAAATCAAGCTGGCTTCAGACTTCTCTTGAACACAGAGTTTCAGAAAGCAGGGGAACAATTTCTATGGAGATTTAAGAAAAAAAATAGGCATTACCCTAAAATGTGATACCTCCCTAGTTCTGGGCTGGAATTGTAGATTTGGGAGCCATTAGCATAAAGAGAAAAATTGTTGCCTTGGATGAGTAAATTCACACAAGGAGAGATTTTAAAGTGAGAGGACCAGAAGCTCTGAGAGATGCCTGAGCAACACCTATATTGAAGGGAAAGGCAAAAATACAGGAGTCAGACAATGAGAGGATGTGGCCAAGAGGAGGATACTTGTCATGAAAATTAAGAAACTAGTGAATCTGGAATCTCTTGGGTTGAAAAAGCCAAGAAGTAAGACAAAGGCTGAGGAGAAAGAAGTCACCAGTAATAGATCTAATTATAAAATGTGTAAAATTGATCAATTAACATTTAAAAAATATTTGATGTGTAATTTTATAAATCTCATGAATTATTAGCATTTATTCCTAGTAAGTGAAATGAACTGCCCCACAACATTCAGAGTATAAGAAACGGCACATCCTTTTTTGTGTTTCTGAATTGTGAAGTATTTCATACATACAAAGAAGTCCAGAATATACTGGTACAGTTTAAAGAGAATGAGAAAATGAAAACGCATAAGTCAGGTTGAGAAATAAAACACTACCAGGAACAGAAAAGCTCCAGTGTGCACTCACCATCCCGTGTCTCTCTGTCCCCAACAAAATGGGATCAAAATCTGAATTTTGTGATAATCATCCCCTTCATTTTCTTTAGATGACTAAATATGTATATCTGTCTGATAAAATATTGTACATTTTGTTTGGTTTGAAATTTCTAATAGATAGATTCTAATGGATCTGTAACCTGCCTTTTTTGTTCAACATCATGCTTCTGAAATCCATCCTGTTGAAGCATGCAGCCAAGGTCCATTCATTTTCACTGCTGTACAGTATTTTATTCTATGAAGAGCTTACACCACAATTTATTTATCCATTCTATCCCTGATGAACACTTGGTTTGTTTCCCATGATTTTGCTATTATGCACAATGCCACAATTAATATTCTTACACATCTCCCCAAGTAGCCTAGATTCTCCTTCTGTACATGTATCCAATACATCTGCCTGTGAGTGTCTGATGTCTTCACTTAGTGGCTGGGAGGAGACTATTCTAACAGTGCATGCGTGTCCTTTGAATTAAAACTTCATCATTATTTTCACATATTTGATACGAGAAAGTTGATTTAGATTCAATATCCATTAGCAGCATCACAAGAAATTGCAACACAACATTTACCAAAGCAGAAAAGGAAGAGCTGTTAGATTCTGTAAATACAATGTCAACTGTTTTTGAATGATTGTAAAAGGCTTTAAATTTTGCATTACTTGATGTTGTGAACAAATTTGTTGTCAATGATGACTATCCAGAATTTAAAGACACCATTATTAAAAAGTGTTGAACAGCAGTTGTGCCTAGCCATTTCAAGCAAAAAATCTGATATGTAAAACATCATGCCCATGGAAGCAAGTTCAAATTTCTAATTTAAAAAAAGGCAATTATTTCATCTGAACAATTACACAAATTCAACATCTTCCTTAACACCTTTTGTAGTAGCCAGCCTCTCAGATAGCACCCAGAGATTCTTGTATCCTGGTATGCACTTCCTGGTGTAGTTCTTTTTCACACTGAATAGGGTGAACCTCTGTAATTAATGGGATTAGTGCAAAAATTACAGTGTGACTTCCAAGGCTAGGTCATAAGAGACATTGGGGCTTTTGTCTTGCTCTCAGAAGACAGCCACGGTGTCATGAAGACATTCAAGCACCCAATAGAGAGCTGAGAGACTGAAGCACTGACTCCCAACCCATGTGAATGCGCCATCTTGGAAGTGGTTCCTCCAGCCTCAGTCAAGCCTTCACAAGATGCAGCTTGTCTGAAACATTATGAGAGAGCCTGAGCCAGAACCTGGTAAACTGCTTCCATACTCCTGACCCACTATAAACTATGTGAGCTAATAAGTGTCTATTGCTATTTTAAGCTGCTATGTTTTGGGGTAATTTGTTACACAGCAATGGATAACTAATACACTCATAATTTTTATTTTTCATACCATAATTATACAATACAGAGACAATGGCAATTGTTTTCAGTAAGCACAATATAGATGCCCCCCACCAAAATCTCTTTTTAAAATGGAGAGTAAGGTGTGGTGTTGGAGGGAAAAAAAGCAAAAGTTGATATTGCCAGTGTTCTGGACACTTCAAGACACCTCATTCTCAGACACCTTCAGGTCATCTCCACAGTCTCCTGTCTGTCTGTCTGTCTGTCTTTCTTTCTTTCTTTCTTTCTTTTTCTTTTTCTTTTTCTTTTTTCTTTCTTTTTTTTTTTTTTTTGTATATTGGGGCCAAGGGACAAAGAGGATATAAGAGCAAAATAGGTCATAGTAGGGGTGGCAGAAAATTTATTTGAAGCATTTACAGTAACTGAATGGCCCTGAATTCACTCTCTATATAAAACATGAGCAGGACTGACACATCTGGAGTCCCCAAGCACGAAAACAATAATGATACCTTTCTATCTGCAAAATAAAAACTCTACAAAACTATGATATGGGTAAAGAAGCCCCCGACGTTTCTATTTTTCCCTGATGCTTCTTTTGAAATGTCAATTGTCAAATCCATCTTCAAAATTGTTTTAGTGTCTCTGCTTTGTCCCTTTACTCACAGTTGGTCTGCCCACTGTTTAATCCAGAGATGATAAAACACTCTCTAAATAGAGATTCATGTTCTAAGATGAACATACTTCATCAAAGCACCCCTCTGTGCCCCAGTTATTATTAAATCATTTTACCTTCCAGAGACTGGCTTTTCCTGAAGGGCTCTTGTTAGCCAAGCTGCCCTTAATAAGTGCTTATTCTTAATACTCCTTTGAAACCCACTATAAATGTTCTTGTTACCCAGAAACTCTGCAGTCTCTGATGGGTCACTAAAATCAGGGTGGGAAGGCAGAAAGCAGCTCATTTTAGATCGGCAGGCCTCATGCCGTCCAGGTTGTCCTTTTGCTTGTCCCATTCTCACCTTACATGAACGCAAAGGGCCAGGCTATTTATATTCTGATCATGGTGAAGGACTCAGCAGGTGACAAATGCTAATTTGTGAGGTCAGGAAAGGTGCTTCACATTTTCCCTTTGTGAAGACAAGATCAAGACGTAGGGCAGGATGGGGAGGCTCTGAATATCCTGTATATTTTGCTACATTTAAGAAGTGACTGTGACCATACTCATGGAAATCAAAGTGGTCTCAGAGTTTGAGTCCCCATTTATCAGAATAACCACACTTAAGGCAGGGACAAAGCAGGACTATTTTATTTTATATAATTGATATTGAAATTCTGAAGCTAAGCTGTGTAATATGACTGCTACTAGCCACAAATGACTATTTAATTATAAATTAATTAAAATTAAATAAAATGAAAAATCCAGGCCCCCAGTCACACAAGCACATTCTAAATGCTCAGTAGACACATGAGCACCGTTACAAAATATTTGTTATCATGGAAAAGAAAGAAAAACTTGACTGAATTCCCTTACATCTATTTTATTATCTGACATTGTTTTTAACTTTGAATTACACATTTGGGGAGTAGGTGGGAGAACCATGATACTTTCAGTGTCTGGCGACCTCTAAAGAATTTAATCTGACCTTCGCCAGTAGGCTCCTTAACAGCATTTATAGCCCTGACCTCCCCTCCACGAACCTCATCAATAAGTCATTGCCCTGGACAGTCACCCACGAGCACCTCCAATCCGTGAGATTAGACAGGAAACTCGAGCCTCGCCCGGTTTCCTAGCAACAGCGACGCGACCCCGCCCCTTCCCAGGCCGGGCTTCTCCTACCTTATTG